GGGATGGCATGAGCACCAAAAAGCCCCGACTTGACGGCACACGGCCTCTGACTCCCGGTGGCACCTGGTGTGTCAGAGTGGAACCGTGCTCCTTGGAAACAATGGCTGGCTTTCCAGAAGCCGATGGCCAGGCCTCTCTTCCAAGGCACACCCCCAGTTTTCCAGTTAGCGGCTGAGTGCGTCCACCATCCACCGTCCAGGGAGTCCTATGGCTGCGAGGCCTGAAACAGTCTCTCTCCAGCCCTTTACAGAAAGGAGCTGCCTGAGTCTAGACCATCATAGGTTTACCAACCAGCAAAACGCGGAGGAATTCAGGTAGAAGCCAGGAGGGAAGGCCTCGCCTCGTCTTTCTGCACAGGCTCTTGCCCGTGACACCGGGTGCTGTCGATGGGCTCCCACTCAGGACGAAATGTCGCCCACCGTGCACCATCTTCCTGATCCCATGAGCGCACTATCGTAGCTCTCGTCTGTCTGTCTCATGGAGGTTCGCCTCATTTCACTGGCCCTCTGCCAACCGTGACGTCCTTCCTGGTGCCATGTGAGTCCATGAGCCAAGGCATGAGCACAAGTCCTCCTTAGTCTAGAGAGGCTCGTGAGGGTGTCTGTCCCATCACAGCCAAGTCCACCAGCCCCGTCCCACTGCCCCTGCCCCTCCCATCCCGTTCAGCCCTGGCTGTTCTCCTCTTCACTCCCTGTCCCAGGATTGCTGGGACCCACGTTGCTGCTCCTGGTTCTTCTCGACTTGATGGCACCTCCTCCTTGGGGGCATCTCCTTGCCCTCCGTGGATATTGGGGACACCGGCGAATCACTGGGGATTCTCAGGCAAGGAAGACACCCGCTGTCCTCAGTCTGCAGATGCTGTCTCGTAGCCACCATCAGTGCCATCACCTCCCCTGGGTCAACTCCCAGACTCCTGGGCCCAGTTCTCAGAGCCAGGCTGCTTCCTGCCCACCTCTGTCCCTTTGCTGGGACCCCAGCTGCCCTCGCTGCCGTGATGTGCTGGCTCCCTGTGCCTTGAGCCCGCGCTCAGCTGCCGCCCTTGCACATCGAGCCTGAGGTCCTGCTCACACGTGTCCCGTGTGGTGGGCAGTGAGGCTGCTTCTGTGTAAGTCTCCCTCTGCCCCGACCCCATGGCTCACACTGGGCTGACCTCTGTGGTGCTAGCAGGGGGGCCTCTGCGCGGCGGTGCCTGCTCCACCTGCCTGCACTAGCAGCCGGGACGGACGGACCTGGCTCGCTTGGGGTCTGGAAGCTGAGCCTGCCCGGGCGCTGCCTGGTTTGGCTGTGGGCGGAGGCTGGACCACAGGGCACAGAAATGCTTCCCCCAGGGCTGGCGGTGCATCTCACAGGTGCCCTGAAGTCCTCCTGACGGACACTGCTGAGCCCGAGCTCTCCTTGGGCGAGGAGCGGACGCACGCCAGTGGTCACCGTGGGAAAGCCGGCCTGGCCCTGCCCTGACCGTGTGGAGGTGACAACCCCGAGTGGCAGCTGCCCAGAGCCTCCAGAATGGAAGCTGATGCCACCAAGATAGGAGGCTCGAGGTGCGGGGAGGGCCTGGCCACGTGGGGCTCTGAGGGGCCACGACAGGAGCCCAGCCGGCCCCTGCCACACAGCTGCACAGGGTGAAGGCTTCTCACGGACTTGGGGTGCTGTACCGTGGAGGTGCTGTAGGGCAGGGGCCCGGGCAGTCCTCATCAGCACAGTGTGGGCACCTTCCTGCCCTCCGGCCCAACTGCTGGGCTTCTCAAGCTCCGTGGCCATGGGGTCCGTGTCCAGGGGCTCGGGAAGCCACGCCCCAGGGGAGGGGCTCAGGAAGCTGTGCCGGGTGGGAGGCGGCCTTGGCAAGGCTCAGACTCCGCACAGCCATCCTTGAGTCCCAAACCGCTGCAGGCGGTGTTGGGGGCACGTGGGGGTGAGGGCTCAGCCCCCCGGTGGCTCGGCTCTCCTGCGATTTTGTGACAGAACACGGGTCTGTCCCTTGGAGACCAACACAGTCCTGAGGGGCTGGTCACTGTCCTGGACGCCCTGCCCGAGATCTCAGCACAGCCAGAAGGAGCGGGCAGCACACTTGGACGGGGGGCCCTGGGCACGCGGCCGGCACACTGAAAATGCACGTTGAGGGACTGCTGTGTATGCCTAACGCTGAGGCGTGACCCTCAGTCATCCACAGGGACTTGCTGGTAGGGAAGAGGTCCCCTGCTGCAGAGAGAACAACTGAGTCCGAGATGGGTGAGGTCACGCAGGGGACAACGTGCAGGGCACGGTGTAGGGCCAAGGCTGGCTTGCCTCACACTCATGTCTGTGTGACCATCAGGCCAACACCCAAGGGCCAGCCCCCTGGTGACATCTGGGAGCTAAGTGCATATCTGGCCAGTGGATAAGCAAGGAGGGGGCCCTGGACATGAAGGCCCCCCGGCCACATTCACACTGTCCCCTGGGCGAGCTTTGACTCTGGTAATTGATCGCTGCCCGCCTGGCCCACGGGCCACCTGCTCTTTGCTTTCCACCTTCCCTCCCTGACCCACTCCCAGCCTGTGCCCTTTTGAACCAGAACACATGACAGTCATGTGACCCTTGAAGGTTACTGATTGCCTTCAATTCAGAGCCGAGTCAACGTGTGAGTCACTCCCTGGGGCCAGGGCTTCTGGTCCCTGGGCCACGCTGACGGGGAGCCCAGGCCTCACCTGGGACCCTGCTCTGCCATCTTGGGCCCAGAGGTGGTGTTTACTTGTACGAGACCAAGAGGCTGCTGCTCCTGCTCACCATTCTGGGCTCATGTGGGTGACTCTCATCGCAAAAGCCCAGAACTGGGGCTTGACCGATTCAGGACCCGGACCAGGAGGCCTGGTGTGTCCAGCCCCCAGTGGTTTGAAGCGAAGGACTGGGGCATGGAAAACAGCCCCACAGATGCACTTGAAAACCAGCACCTCGAAAAAGCCAGCCACCCAGAGGGAGCGAGTAGCTGGACCTGTGGGCTCGGGACCATGGTCGCACGGGACATCAAGCTCAACTGGCATAACACACTACACAAAAAACATTGTTCCACATTCTACTTTGGCGAGTAGTGACTGGGATCTTAAAAGCTTGCAAGCAGCCATCTAGATGCAACGATGGGTCTCTCCTCGTCCAGAGCAAAGAATGAAGGAAACTAAAGACACATAGAAACAGTCAGTCCAGGGGACTGGTACACCATGCGATCCTCAGCCTATACAACTGTGAGACAAGAACTAGATGGTGCCCAGCTACCACTGTCAACCACTCGGAGGGGGATCTGTGTAGGAGATCCTGGATAGAGGGGGAGAACAATGTGGAACAAAACTCAAAATCGTTAAAAAAAAGTGACCAGGTTTGCTGGTCTGATAAGAGCCTGATGGAACCATTGAGACTATGGCCCCCAGCTGCCCTTCAGGTCTGGAATTGAACCCACTCCTGTGGCTTCCAGCCAAACAAAAGACAGGCATAGGAGCTGAACATTTCCATTAGGAAATCCTTGAAAGATCAATCATGGGAGAAGAGAAGGGCTGTGTATGCACAGGGAGATAGTTTGGGGGGCAAGAGTACATGGGAGGGAAGGACACGGGAAGAGGTAACTATGGAGAGGAAGTGGGAGGAAAGCTATTGCACTGGGGGAGATTGCAGTCAAGGTCACGAGACAAAGTGTATGTGAACTACTGTATGGAAAGTGAATTTGCTCTGTAAACTTTCACCCAAATCACGATAAAAATTAAAAAAGAAAAAAAAAGCCACTGCCTAACAGTGATTAGATGAAGACATGCCCCAAGTGACCCTGCAGTTTAACTTTCAAAGATGACGTGGGTTCTTTTTACAGACCAGGGAATGCTTTTGCCAGTAAACTGCACACTTCCGAGTATCAGGGTAGCACGTGCACAAGATGGAGAGTAAGGGGCTGTCAGACACGTTTGGGGTCACGTGCCTCTTTCCACAGAGGTAGTCAATTTGATTCCTATGAATTCCATTTGGCAAAGTCCACATGTACAGATGCCATTTATGTCATTGAAAAAAGTATTCGCAATGTAAGCTATCGGTCTTACAAAATTCTACCATGTGCTCTCTGGCATCCTTTCTGTCACCAAGGCCATATTTTCCAGCTACCCATGATTCTTTGTTACCAACTTTTGCATTCCAATCACCAATAATTATCAATACATCTTGATTGCATGTTTAGTCAATTTTAGATTGCAGGCGTTAGTAAAAATCTTCAATTTCCTCATCTTTGGCTTTAGTGGATGGTGCATAAATTTGAATAATAGTTGTATTAACTGGCCTTCCTTGTAGGTATATGGATATTATCACTGACAGGCTTGTACTTCAAGACAGATCTTGAAACATCCTTTGTGATGATGAATGCCACACCATTCCTCTTCAATTTGTCATTCCCAGCATAGTAGATCATATGGTTGTCCGATTCAAAATGGCCCAAACTGGTCCATTTCAGCTCACTAATGCCTAGGACATCAATCTTTATGCATTTCATTTCATTTTTGACAACTTCCAATTTTCCTAGATTCATACTTTGTACATTCCGTGTTCCGATTATTAATGGATGTCTGTGGCTGTTTCTTCCCATTTTGAGTAGTGCCGCATTAGCAAATGGAGGTCCCCAAAACTTTACTTCGTCCACGTCATTAAGGTCAACTCTACGCTGAGAAGGCAGTTCTTCCCCAGTCATATTTTGAGGGCCTTCTGACCTGAGGGCCTCATCTTCCGGCACTACGTCAGGCAATGTTTCAGGGCTATTCATCAAATTTTCTAGCAATAGATCAGACAGTGCTTCACTGCTCTTCATAAGGTTTTCACTGCCCAGTTCTTAGAGAAGTGGATGGCCCCTTCCTTCTTCCGAGTCTGAGTCTGGAAGCTCTGCTGAAACCTGTCCACCATGGGTGACCCTGCTGGTATTTGAAACACCTGTGGCAAAGCCTCCAGCCTCACTGCAACGTGCAAGCCACCGCAGTCCAACACACTGACAGATGAGTGGTGGCCTTGAGGAGGGAGGGCCCCAAATGGTGGTGTGAGAGCAACCCAGCCGTGAAGGGAGCTCAGACCGACAGGAACCCTCGCGACACCCCCTCTCCCCAGGTAAGACAGGGACCTTCTTGGGCATTCTGGTTCCAGTACTCTGGGGCTTCGTTGCCCATGACCACGCTGCTAGCCCAGACCCCAGGCATGAGAGGGCACTCTCCTGTGCCCCCGACACGCCCCTGACCTTCTCAGGGCTCTCCCAGGGCTCCTGACACGGCCAGCCAGGCTGGAATTGAGTCTCTCAGGTCCTTCAGCTTTGGGGTCATCAGATTCCCACTGAGGTCGCAGGGTCAGCATCAGGGTCAGAGGCCATCTGGGCCCTGGCCTTCCTCTCACTGCACCTGTCCCCCATGATCTGAGTTCATGCTTCTGCTGCCCTCTCTGTGGGAGCGGGGCTCCTGCTGGGGCTGGGGGTGTGCGTGGCGGAGAGCAAACTACAGGGTTTTCCCTGTGATATGTCTTCCAAAAGGAAAACACACGCTTTGGAAGCATCACGTGCTCAGACAGACAGGAGCCGCACGCACCATGTCATCAACTGGCCTGCCTCTCGCTTCCATCCCCCAGGGAGGTGGCCGCTTCTGTTCACAGAGACGGGCAACAAGCAGGGAGCAGCGATGGTGCTCACCTGGTCACCCGGGCTCTGGCCCGATCCTCCCAGCCAGGGGCCTCCCGGGCACGGGGTCTGTGCCGTGGTCTGAGCAGCCTCCTGGGATCAGGCGCCCCCTAAGCCACCCCCCTGCCAGCCACCCTCTGGCCAGACCTGCTGCTGCCTGAGACCGAGACTGCCCCAGTGCCCTCACTGTGCATGGTGAGTTCGCAGTACCCCCCCCCCAAGCACTCAGTGAAGGGCCTCTGGGACCCAGAAGCGCAGCCCAGGCGCCGTGGTGGCCCGCCCAGTTTCAGGCCAGCAGGGCGGAGCTGGGCCTTCCGGCTGTCTGCTCACAGGATCCACTCTCCTGCTCCATGCGGCCTCTCTGGGGTTTGAAGGGTGCTTCCTTGGACACTGGACAGTCCGGCTCAGGACCTGCTGCAGGGGGACACTGGCAGTGGCATTGCCACACACCAACCACGTGCTGGGCACGCAGCCCCACATGCACTGGGAAGATGGAGGCTCCGAGTGGCAGGACCACCAGGCGGGGAGGGGGAGCTCCCCGTGACCTCCAGGTCTGCGCTCGCTGTCATGTGGGATGGGTGTGTCCCCTTGGTCCCAATGTGGGGTCTTCCTGCTCGCACATCAACCTTCTGTTCCATCGGGGGGGGGATGGACCGGGGGTGGGGCCTGAGTCGGATCTGCTCCAGGTCTCTCTGCTGTTAACCGAGGATGGCCGTGTAGACCCGCCACCGCAAGGCCGGGAGGCGTCTGGAGGGTGGCCGTGTAGACCCGCCACCGCAAGGCCGGGAGGCGTCTGGAGGGTGGCCATGTAGACGTACCACCACAAAGCTGGGAGGCGTCTAGAGGATGGCCGTGTAGACCCGCCACCGCAAGGC